TCAACTGCGGATTACGTATAGGTGTCAATGGTTTATTTACCCGCTACGCGCAATAGGACGATAGGACAGTGCTCGTTTCAAGACCGGTGATAGAGGGACTATGAATGTATATACCAAGTTTGAAGAAAATTCATCTTTGAACAGCCGAGAAATGCTTAATTTTGATGAATTTTCAGTACAAAAATGGCTGCCATTCGGCCATCTTGAATCAGATTGTGAAACAAATTGATGTGCATATGTATAATGTCATGTATGATGTACCTTGTATGTTTGAAGTTTGATTGTAATTAGTCCAGACATTTCTAAGATACAGCATGCATGCATGCATGCACGGACACACAGACGCACAGAGGTCAAAACATAAGTCCCCGTTTTAGGACTGCATCCAAACGGGGACTAAAAATAAGTCTGTATATTATTTCAAATCATGTTCCAAATTTTGTTTAAATCTGATAATTGGTTCTTGACGTATCAGTGTAAAAGACACGCATATGGACACATTCAACCTTCAAACCTGAACTCCCACAGACCCATAACACACACACACATGCACTAACAGCAAAGACTACCATTGTTCAAAACCTCCAAAAGCCCCCAAAAATTAAACAAATTATTTGGTCAGTGTGCATGTCTCATTTTTTTTGGTTTCTGCCAAAATATTGAAAAAAAAATGGGCTCAATGAATAATGTGTTTCGTGATTTTTAGAATTAGGTCTTAGGATTAGACATGTAAAGTTAAAGAATTAAAAGTGTTACAATACTCACATGATATGTAGCCACACTCAGATGACTTAACGCTTCATATATTAAATTATTTTGTAGAGCGTAAGCAAGGGCTGGTACAGATACCACTTTCAACGTGTCTAGTGGATTAGCTATGATTGTGTTGTACAAGTATAATAGGAATGTCTGAACATCGAAATATGATTGGAACAAGATGACAGTGAAACAGACTACAAGTTTTATAATTTCGGTGAGGACAACAGCAGTGGAGGCCATGTACATATGTCCCTCTGATGTTCCAGCAGTTCTAGTTTGTCGCATTACCAGGATGAGACAGGAATTCTGTATGAGTAACAGACCAAGACTTAAGTACTTCATTGGATGTGGCTCTGAAAAGAAGATGATTCGTTTGCATCATATTTCTGATATTTATATAACAAAAAATTCGTAGTATTAGGAAATGCCACTAGTGCGATATTCGATGAAGAATTGAAGAAGTTGTGTGAATTGCAAGTAGTTCACAAAATTTGAATGTGTTCTGTGATGCCATTGCTTAAAACTGATGTTCACATGCAGAAAATGGTGTTCCTTTCAAGTGTTCACAAATCACAACAGTTTGATTTTCAACTCATCAGTGGAACAGTCATGGGAAACCTAAAAATTAGTTAATTATCATGCAGTCCTATCATCACAAGTCGGTGTTAAATTGAAGTCGTCACAATGTTGTTACCATACATGCACACATACAGGCACACTACAAACTGGAGTCAACAATTAGTCAACTTCTCACCCAAGAAAAGGTGGTTGAAATTTTGTCTGAAAAAAAAATATTTGACAATTTGTTTTCCACAATGAGTTGCAACATATTTCCCCCAGCAAATTAATACAATAATATATATACTAGTATATGCATGTACTTGACAGGGTGGTGGTCATCGCGTATTTCATGTAAACAAACAATGTAGTTTATATGCATTGTGTTTGTCATTATGAATCTCACATCGAACAGGACACAGCATGATGACCACCGTCCTTTAATGAACAAATGAGAGAAAAAAGAATATTATTGACCTGCATACATTTTTTTTTCAAACACCAAAATTAGTTTAATAGTGATCCAATGAGAATGTTAACATTGAAAGTCTCCAAAGACATTTGGTTGTTCAGTATTGCATATACATATTTGTTGTATATCTGTTTCGTTATACAACTGGAAGAGAGATTACAAGATTTAACAGCAGCTTTGGTTGCTATACTGTGTCTTGAATAATAAACACAAGAAAATGTCAACAGTTCAGGTAATTGCTTTTTTGAGTGAACGTTCTATAGGCCGTCGCAATTGTTCACATTTTGTGCACATGCGCAGTGACTGGTTGGCAAGAAAAATGTATTCACATCTAAAAAAAAAATAATTGTTTTCTTCACTGCTGTTGTATTTAAATATACATGTATGTATTCCTGTTAATAAAACAACTTGTGGCAACATTGTCGAAGCAGATCTTGAGTTAGTGTTGTTCAGTGGACGATGCATGGTGATTGGCATAAATGTAAACATATGTTATCACAATGTCATATACTCGCGGCACAGAAAGTTAGCGTACAAGTAATGATAAAATAAATGTCATTGATTCATCGATGTTTACTATATGGGGACCACCATTTTGAATATGGCAAGAGACAATTTGAGAAACATGTTTTTCAGATTCCTACAAATCAGGATAAAAAAAAAAATTTTGAGCTAATCAGTGACGGCCTTAAAGTTTGATGACAATTTCGATTTCAAATACCCTGGGAAAGTGTTCTATGTTCTTTATGTAATTAGGTGTTAAGTATGCAAGAGGTTGTTCCACACAAAAACAACATATTCAGGTGAATTTTGTTAGCGGTTGGCCTAGTACAACCCAAGGGATTGTTTGACTGTGAGAGTTTGGTATTCTGATTTGTAGGAACCTGAAAAATGTGTTTCTCGACTTCTTTCTATTTAGTTTCATGCTGCATTCATTGACGTTTAAACATTTCTGGAAATAAAAATATATTATGCTTACAAACAATGACATGGGTGGAACGAACCCTGCATGGTCACCACTCTCAGCTCATTCACCCATTACCAGCAAGATTACAAGCAATTTTCTAACACATCACCTCCTGAAAGCCTGCATGGATTGCCAAAATGAGGAAAATAATAAAATAAATACTGTGGAATACTTTATTTTTGCTTGGAATTTATTTTCGCTGAAGGAATGTTCCATGAAAATAAAATCCAGCGAATATACTTTTTTCCCTATATTTCACATTAAACTCATCAAAAATCAGTGAAAATTAATTCCACACAAAACGCCCAAAAAGCCTTTTCAGCGGAAATTAATTCCAGCGAAAATAAAGTATTCTACAGTATTCTGTAAAGTACTTTATTTTTGCTGAAGGGATGATTCAGTGAAAATAAAATCCAAAGAATACCATTTTTCCTGTATTTTACATTCAACTCATAAAAATCATTGAAAATAAATTCCATACAAAACGCCCAAAATGTCTTTTCAGTGATAAATTAATTCCAGCTAAAATAAAGTATTTTACAGTATGTACAAATTACACAGCAAGCAGTTGCCAACTTACAGCTTTCATGCATTTACCATGCAGAGATTAGCATTACAGTTTAGGAACAGATGAATTGCAACAGCAGATCTTGGCCATGACATCATCTCAAAAACTCTGGAAATATAGGTAAATTCAAAGCAGTGAATATGAAAACATTGAACAGAGAGCAAATAAAGGTAGATTAATTTGCTAGCATCCTTCTGCCAATATAGTTCTGGCATATTACAAGAGTGCTGTTACTCCAAATTATTACCTCCACTGGACAATACAATGAGCATTTCTTTCTTAACACTTTTGTTTATGAGTAATAAAAAACAACAACAAGCAGCCTCTCGGCTGAGATAGCTCCGCTGTTAGCAATGCACATTTCAATTAAAGAACAGAAGATATCATTAGAAAATAAACAACATGTATAGTATCAATGCAATGGGACTTGCTGTTTTCAACAAGAATTCAAAAATATCACTTTAAAAAGACAAAAATAATCATCAAAATTAAATAATTGAAGATATCACCATGAAATTAACAAATCTGAAAGAGGTCCACATGTAGTACCTATATAAGTAATATAAAAGCAATCGGACTTGCCGTTTTTAACAAGAAGTCGAAAATATTACTTTTTACCAAAAATGACAAAAATATTCACCAAAATTAGAGAATTAAATATATCATTACAAAATGAACAAATCTGAGAGAGGTCCACATGTAGTACCTATATATGTAATACCAAAGCAATTGGACTTGTGGTTTTCAACAAGAAGTCGAAAATATCACTTTTTATCAAAAATGACAAAAATATTCACCAAAATTAGAGAATTGAAGATATCATCGTGAAATGAACAAATCTAAGAGAGGTCTACCCAAGGTACATATACACCAAGTATCAAAACATTCAGGCTTGTAGTTTTCAAGAAGAAGTTGAAAAAGTAAAACATTGACACGGACGACGGACAATCACTCATATGATAAGCTCCGCTCGACAAAGTCGACAGCAGAGCTAAAAAAAAAGCAAAAAAAACAGAAAAAATAAATTATTAAATATATTTTTTCAAAAAAGCATAGATATTTTGTAAGTAATGAACTCATAAATGACATGATTGTAAACATGTACTAATTTTCTGAAACAAGATCAGGGTGTGGTTAACCTTTTGGGCGTCAACTTATACCCCTATTCACAATATACAAAAACATTAATCAGATCCTGTAGGCAATGTAAAAGAACCCAATAAATCCTAGAAAAATACAAAAAATTTTCAAAAGATTTGATTAAAAAATGTAGCAGGGAAAATAATTACTTCCAAAAGATTTATACCTTCCAATGACGAGGTGATGCCATGGTGAATTATTAAGTATCTTATTGAAAAAGACATGAAAAGCAATATTTTAAACAGAAAATACGTTATCGATAACATATTGGTATTCATCTAATCTTTACCTGGAGCATGCATGGTCCCTTGGAATGTTCCAGATTCACTCTTGTTAAGTCCATCTTGGACTGACACTGTTATTCATGTAGATGCAAAGCGAAAGAAAAACAAATATATCACATTTATACATACCAGAGAAATTTCACTTTAAAGTTATTAAAATATTGCTAGGTATACACAGGTGAAATAAGAGAATTCCTCTTGATAGTTGATATTAAAATAAACATGATAATGTTTATTTGGGACGTGAGAGTATGACATCAATGTTTCAAGCTTCATTGTAATGAGATGATTTGTGCAAATAATTATGCAAATTAGGTGATTAATATGCACATATTTGTATTCAAAACTAATTAGGTATGTGCGTAGTCTTAGAGCATCTATGTACAAAGTTTCATAGAAATGTAATGATTAGTACTTGAAATTTCAGCGGAAAAGCTGAAAAATTTATAATTATGCAAATTGGGTTAGTAATATGCACGGATATTAAACAAAAACTTAACAGCTCTGTGCATTGTCCTATGACATCTATGTACTAAGTTTCATAGTAATATGACTGTTAGTACTTGATATTTCAGAGGAAAAGCCGAAAATTGAATAATCATCATGTATTTATGTATTTTTTTATTAGACGCATAAAATACTTAGGAAAGGATAAAAAGGGTCTTACAGAAAGAAATTAAAAAACTACAATCTAAAACGAAAAACAAAAAATAAAAACTTTTCTAAAAATATAAAACAAATCAAAAACAATAAAGACAATTTGCAGCCAATGGTGAATACAGAATATAGAATGCAATATATTATGCTTTTGCATCAAGTTTCAAAAAACCAACATATGGTTCTTGAGATATCAGTGGAAGAGGTGGACACACATATACACACACAAATAC